ATATTAAAATCCCCCATTAGGAGGATATGATCATATCTCAGCCTGATTTCCGCAAGAAAGGTTGAAAAACCGCTTAAAAAGTCTTTGTTGTACTTAGGAGGGCGGTAAATGACAGCGCACAGCACCGGGAAAACACAACCAACTTCAAAGAAGGTTACTTCAAAGCTGGTGGTTGATGTGGTGAATGTGCACCGTTTACATTTGAAATTGTTCTTAAAGATACTCACCGTTCCTCCACCACGGCCTGAAGTCCTCGGGGTATCGAGGAATGCACAGTCAGGTGGCAACAATTCAAGTAAAGCGTTGTACTCACCAGTACCTGCCCAAGTCTCCGTCAGACACAGGAAATCCAAGTCATTGGAAAGGAAATACTCCCTCAGAATATGGGTCTTGTTTGTCAACGACCGGGCGTTTAACAACGCGATCCTTGTGGGAGTAGCAACGGGAGGGATTGCCTCTCCCGATTGCCGAGCCCGGGGGAATTCCCTCAAAAGCTTTCGCTGGATTTCTCGCCGAGAAAGGCGCAGAGGGTAGAAATGACGTGGCGCGGTGGGAGAGCCAACGACTGTTACCAAGCACGAGGCGACGGTGTCGAGGGCACGCCACGACGGAGTAATTCCGTGCGTTCGGGAACGAGCAGCGATCTTAGTGTGTCTCAGATCCCGTTTTAGCTTCACGAGCTGACCGCTACGGTTGCCGCGGCGACGGCGGCGGCGGCGGCGCTTCTGTGAAGTGGGCGACCGAACGCGGAAGAGATTAGCCGGCACATTAGCCAAGAACGGAGGTAGCGTCTTTTCACCACCGTCTTGCCAAAACGTGGCCGAATCTCCGACGTGTTGTTGAATCAATAACAACGACTGGCGATCGTAAACCAATCGGGACGCTGTTAGGAAGGTAACAAGCATTGCGAAAAGGAAAAAAAACCCGAAATAGCAGGAGCGTCACCGAACACACTGCCGCACTGTCCGCCATTTTGGATTCCCCATCCCCATTTATGGACAGAATTGAGAGGCCTATTTTGTGGCCTCAGTATTACATCGCCACGATGTATTCATCTGTAGTCGATATTTGTTGAGCCCCTTTTGATTTAATTGCTGCATCAATAAAGTGTGGCAGGGAGGCGATGAGCCTGTGATACTTCTGAGGTTATTTGGAAGTCCAGGTTGCTTTTATTGTAGCCTTCAATTCATCTGCCTTATTGGGTGTGGTGTCTCCAAGATTCATCCTGGCAATACCCCATTGATTGTCTTTGGGTCTGATGAGTTTATTGGCCAATCAAGCACTGTACTGTCATGGTTATTATTTTTGATAGTTCTGACACCGGGGGCAGGTGCCAAGTCCTGCTGGTGGCATGAAATATGTATCGCTAGAAAGCTTGTTAGCAGAGAGAAGCATACATTTCTATACAAAATTTAATAGTAAACAGCTTTGTTCAGTTCGATTTCAGAAAACACGGCGCAAAATCCTATGGGACTGAACCATCACAAAGGAAACGTGGCTCTCAGTCTTCCTACAGAAAAGTTATTGATTCCAAAATGTTGCAAAAGTAAGGACTTTGGACCACTGAGCAACTGTCATGTTTTTTCCTTAGCCTTGGCAAGACAATTCTAAGATTGCGTCAGGCTCAGCAGTGGCTTTACACCTGTAATGCAGCATTTAGCCAAATTACTTGATATCTCTATGCACAGTGGATTTCAATGCACATGAAATGTCATGCCACTCATCTGAGTGACTATTTACAAAAAACAAAGAACCAAAATTAGTCTCCCAGTTTTTAACGGTTGCAACAGTTCCTCTCTGACAACAACAATGGAACATATAGCGGGGATTCATGTTAAAACAAATGTCACCGCCTGCCATAACTTGTTGAAGTCTATCATGTTGATGTCCTTGCCTTTGTATAGCCAGATCTCTGTAAACATGGATAGATGCATTTCTGTATTTGTGTTGAGGAATATTTTATTGTATAATTGTATTGACGTTGGCGAGGATAATTGTTGAGGATGGCCGCTGTTGGCAAGCTTCCCTCTTTGGTCTTTGACCAGCGAACCCACAACCGGACGTACTAAATGTACTTCTAAACAAAGTCATACAATGCATTGATGTGAGTGTAAGCAAAATTATGAAATAAATTTTTATTCAAAAATTCAAGTTAGAATTCTCTAATAGCCTTTGGGTAGAAGTTCATGTTTATTATCGATTCCATTTTCAATACTTTTTTGTTTCTTTGTTTTATTTATAATTAGTATCTTTTTTTTTTAAACAAATGAAACAAATGGTGAGCCAATGAAAACATTTCCTGAATACGGTAGTGTTAATGGATTGGAGCTTAATAGACAAAATGTCAAAACAATTGTAAAAATGGTAGCCAGGGCCCCCTATACGTGACATTGTTTTCGGGCTATGTCCTCATTTTGAAATCTAAACTCCTCTTTTCTCCAATTTCTATTTCTTTTCCTACTCTAGACATAAGGGAGAGTGGAAGTCCCAAGCCAGTAATGGTTTTCATCCATGGTGGATCCTACATGGAAGGAACTGGTAACCTGTTTGATGGCAGTGTCCTGGCCAGCTATGGGAATGTGATTGTCATAACAGTCAATTACCGGTTGGGTGTTCTAGGTAAGGACACAACTATATTGCAAAGTTATTTTGTATAGTTGATCAAAATATCTGGTGAGAGATATCACAGCGAAAAAAAATGGTTTGGGCTCATGTGTGACTGCATACAAAAGTTTTGGCGTGGCTGCCAATGAGTGATTTCCATCTACATTACCACTATCACGACTTCTCTTACCACAGTCATGGGATGTCTTACACCCCACACTCAAGTGAACAAGCTTAACATACATAAAAGTGCCATGAATCATAATATGTGTACATATTCCAGAACAGATAAATTGAAGTCTCACAACTGGAGGTACAGATTCATCTCAACTTCTTCCTTCTTGGCTGTGAACCACACCCTGCTCCCCTCCCTTCAAATCTTGGCGGGAGAGGGACTGGAAACTATGTGTACAATCAAAATTATTGCAAATACATTGTTACTATTAGGGAAATTACGGGGATCAATCGGCCCCAAAATTATGTGGACATCTCTGCTTATATATTATGTAATATTGTGACAGGTTTGGCTGTTTTCTTTCACAAGTCACCAAAACACGCAAACACAATGCGTTCCGAGATACTTTTCGTAAGCTTAATTTTTTGGAGGTTGTTATATATTAGATTTTAATATATATAAGCGTTAAGGCGGCCGGGTGGTCCAGTGATTAGCGTGTCAACCTCACAGTGCAGAGGTGGTGGGTTCGATTCTGCCTGCGGCCTCCCTGTGTGGAATTTTCATGTTCTCCCTGTGCCTGCGTGGGTTTTCTCCAGGTACTCCAGTTTCCTCCCACATTCCAAAAACATGCATGGCAGGCTAATTGAACACTCTAAATTGTCCCTGCGGATGGTTGTTCATCTCCGTGTGCCCTGCAATTGGATGGCAACCGGCTCAGGGTGTCCCCTGCCTACTGCCCGAAAACAGCTGGACTAGGCTCCAGCACCTCCCGCAACTCTTGTGAGGATAAGGCGGATCGGAAAATGGATGGATGGATAAACCATTAGCTTGACGTAGTTTTTCTTCTCAAGGCCATTCCAAGGGGTACACTTCCACCACCCATCTGAAAATGATGGGCCATAGTCTGCTGTCGAGTCGGCTTCCTCGCTGGAGCTTTGGTGCTCCGAATGTTTCAAAGTCTGTCGATCCATGTATTTTTTCTGCAATGCGTATCCTCTTTAGGTTGCGCACTGATGTGCTGGATTTTCAAAGTCCAACTTTGAAATTTCACCAAGGCACGGCAACCAGGGTTGTCATGGAGCTCGCTATCGGACATTGACACTCCCAAAGCGGCCACATTTAAAGCACATGACACGCCTCTTGACAAAAATGGCTTCATGAACTGGCTGCCCCGTGAGTAGCTAATAAAAAAAATATTTTGTTCTGCTAACCTTGTCTGTTGAGCCGTTGAACACCAATTCCTGCCATGAGCAGTTTTGTTACTTTTAATACCACTGCATCGGCTATCGTTAGCCACAGGAGGAAACATCCATATGTGACTGCCTGGCTGCCTCCTGAGAATGAACAAATTTTTAGCATAGCTAAATTTCTGAAAACAACAACTGATGAGATTGAAGTGGACAAGGGAAGGAATGAGGACAGGCTGATATGAAAAAAAAAATAAGCACACACACACACACACACACACACAAACACACACACACACACAGACAGACAGACAGACAGACAGAGACACACACACACACACACACACACACACACACACACACACACACACACGCTGGAGCCTATTCCAGCTGTCCTCCGGTTTCCCCCCCACATTCCAAAAACGTGCATGGCAGGCTGATTGAACACTCTAAATTGTCCCTAGGTGTGAGTGTGAGCGCGGATGATTGTTTGTTCGTCTCTGTGAGCCCTGCGATTGGCTGGCAACAAGTTTAGGGTGTCCCCCACCTACTGCCCGAAGACGGCTGGAAAAGGCTCCAGCATGCATTATTGGAAGATGGATGGATGGTTATATACAGTGTGTGTGTGTGTGTGTGTGTGTGTGTGTGTGTGTGTGTGTACATATAAAAAAAAAAAAGAAGAAGAAGAAAAATCTTCGTCTCACACCTCGGGCGTTGTCTGTCCCCCCATTCAGCTCGGGTCCCCCACCAGAGGCCAGGAAGCTTGAGGGTTCTGCGCATTATCTTGCACTGCGCTTTTCTGGACTGAGATGCCCGATGTTGTTCCCGGGATCTGTTGCAACCACCCATCTAGTTTGGGGGTCACTGCCCCGAGTGCTCCGATCACCACAGGCATTACTGTCACCTTTACGTTCCAGGCTCTCTCCAGCTCTTCTGTGAGCCCTTGGTATTTCTCTAGTTTCTTGTGTTCCTTCTTTCTGATGTTTCCGTCACTTGGGACCGCTACATCCACTTCAACGGCTTTCCTCTGCCCTTTGTCAATGATCACGATATCTGGTTGGTTTGCCATTACCATCTTGTCAGTCTGTATCTGGAAGTCCCACAGGATCTTCGGTTGGTCATTTTCCACGACCTTTGGAGATGTTTCCCATTTTGACCTTGGGGTTTCCAGTCCATACTCCGCACAAATGTTTCAGTAGACTATGCCAGCCACCTGGTTATGGCGTTCCATGTAGGCTTTCCCTGCCAGCATCTTACACCCTGCAGTTATGCTTGTGGAGGCTCTCAGTCGTACAGGAAAGTTCCATCGTAGAAAGGGTTCTGTCAGTCGTCATCTGTACCTGTGGGTAAAAAACAAAAAACAAAAAAACAAAAAACAAAAAAAACAAAAAAACAAAAAAGGACGTTTCGCTTCTCTCACAGAAGCTTCGTCAGCGGTAGACAACCTGAAGTCTCCGTGAAGACTCCGGGAAGTTGCTCTGCGCTAAAAAGCTGAGCGTGGCCTGTTTGAGGACTGGGTGGGGATGGTTAGTCACGCCCCTATGGTGAAGAGGCCCATTGGTTTCTAAATTCCCTATCATTGGGTC